ACCGCCAGCTGATCTCCAAGTTCTTCGATGTTCACGACATTTCCTTTCTCGGTTGCTTTCCCGTGCATGCGGGTTCTGCAAGCATGAAAGGCGAGAAGCGCTTGAGCCGCGCCCAGATCTACGTATCCGAACGTTTGAGATCGCGATTGCGGACGTTCTTGTTGCCGGAACCTTGCCGTCTTTGACAGGACGGCGTTTGACCGGTGAGGCGGCGAAACTCGGTGTTAAAGCTGGATTTGCTTTGGAATCCAGCCTCCAACATGATGTCCGTCACAGGCAAATCGGTGGTTTTCAGAAGCATCGCGGCATGGCGCACGCGAAACCCATTGATGTAGCGCGAGATATTCTCGCCATGGATGCGATTGACCGCTTTCGACACACTTCGTGCGGGGCAGTGCAGCCTCCGACCCAACCGCGCGAGCGTCAGGTCCGGGTCAGTGAACATCTTGTGTTCGATCATCAGCCTGTCAAGCTTGCGCAACAGGTCCTGATCCTCTTCAAGCGTTTCCTGCCTCGCCGATTCGCGGGAAACGTCTCGCGTCCGGGGTCCAAGAACAAGTGGCAGGCCAACAAGCGCGCAGAGCAGGACCACCGCAACAACCACGCCGGATGCGCCGGTCAGGAGGCGCATTACCCCTGCATTGCCCGCAGAGAGCATCGCAGCAAGGATCGTGGCATCGGCTGCAACGATCAGGGCGATAAAGAGGATTGCGAAAAGCAATGCAATTCTGACCAAGCGAAATTTGTTTGGTGCGACCTGAACAAAAGCGTCCGGCGGCTGGCGCAGCATCGCCGTCAACAAAATGGCATAGACGGCATTTGTTCCGATCACGATCACATCAGCGGACCAGGCCGTCGGTACGAGAAGCGCGAGTTCCGCCAAGGCCAGTCCCGTGGCTGCGATCTGAAGCGCCTGACGTGTCGGGGACCCGGTCGTTGTCGCAAGTGATTGAAAACCAAGCCAGAGCGTCGGGGCAATCAGTATCGCGATATGAGGCTGTACCCTGCCAAGCACCTCAAAACCATATTCCACTCTTAGCCCCACAAACGCGGTGACCACCGCAATGAGGCCAAGTCCAAGGCCAAACAGAACGCGCGCTGCAATCGGTAGAAGCGGTCTGCTTACAACCGCCGCTGCAATGAACACAGCGAGAATCGAAATGATCCAGGACGTTGGAACCGTGTTCACAGTCGTATTCCTCAAGCCAGGTTCCCAAGCGCGCAACCACATAGATGTCCCGCAACGATCCAGGAGCCGCGCAAATGCGATGCCCGACATGCAAGACTATGATGGCACGAAACTGGATGCCACACGGATCAGCACTCTGGTTGCGGTCTGCAGTTCCAGATCGCGTTTCAGAACTATTTTCAGCCTGAAAAGTGTTCTGTGTCCTGCGCCGTGTGAATTCGCAGAGTGGCATGTCCGGTCCATGCATGCATCTGACCAGGCGCTTGCTGACAGACCCCAATATTGTTGGCGATGTCATCGGTAGACCACGCAAGACTTCACGAAACCGCTTAAGGTTCGCTATTTTTAAAAGCAGGGAGTTACTGACAGAGCACAGATGACATATATTGGTTTGGCAAAGTGAGTGACCTAAACAGATACCGGAGACTGATGTGTCACCAAGTAAGGGCCGCGTCGAAAGACTTATTGATACGATTGCCTCAGAGTTCCAGTCTCATCTCATCGACTTGTGGAACACCTCCACAGTCCTCGATATCCAGGACGGTGCCGTTCAAAAAATGATCTCAAGCGAAGCACCTTTTGGTGTCATCGGGATCAAGATCCTGATGCGCAATCCGGGAGACGCAGATCGTCTTTTTGAGCATCAGTGGAATTTCAGCATCGGGATCACCGGATGTGAATTCACGCTTTTGGATGTCGATTACCAGAACGACGTTTGGATCGGTGATGCGAATTCCGCCGCATTCGCTGGGCACGAACACATTGCCTACAAATCGGTTGAACACATGATTGCCTTTCATGGCGACGATTTCGGCGTCGGAAAAGTCTTCATCGAAAAAATTGGTGCTCTCTGCCCCAGCCTGCTTGAAAAGCCACCATTGTTCTTTCGACTGCCGCGCAGGGCGCCACCAGCCTACAGATTTACGGCAGCCCCCCAGGCCATTCGCGAGGAGATAGGCCTTTCATCTGATGACCGCGTGGTTCTGATTGAGACGATGATCAAAGAACACGGGATTGACCCATACAAGATCCTTCTGTCCTTCCATTCTGATGAAAACTTCTGGCTGGTTGATCTCCCTGAAGCGCTTGTCGACCGTTACCAGCATGGCCTGATTGATCCAAGCCTTGGTGAACATCATTCAAATCTTGAGGTCGGGGTATCCATTACGGCAGAGGCTCTGAGGAACAGGACCCGGCAGAAGTCAAACAGCGCTGAGCGCGATAACGACGTCTTTTTCTCCATGTCTGGAAGCGGTTCCGCGTCAGGTTATTTGAACCGATTGAATTGATTTCACGTTGGCTGGTGTCATTCTTTTGCTGCGAGAAAGCGCGCAATTCCTGACCGTCTCCTCCCGGATTCAAAACCGACCTTCGCTGCGAGCGTATTGAGTTACAACAATGCGCCTCCAGTTCGGACGTTTGCGGGTTTTCGGCTGGATTTGAAAAGTTGCCATTCACAAGAAGACAACCGAAGGTGTTTGAGGTGCGGAAAGCGGCCATTTGCTGCGGATGCATCAAGGTCGGCAATGCTGACGAAGCGTTCATTTGCTTCCGGCAGTTAGAAATGATTTACCTTCTCGCGAGGTCCGCGACACGCGTGATCCTTAGAAACCAGCGTGAGCAGGTGTCTGGAGCCCAGTGGATGGGTGGCATGACGGCCAGGATCAACCTGCAAAACTGGGGAGAAAAACGATGTTCAAGCGTATCATGGCGCCGGTTGATCTGGCACATGTTGAAAAACTGAGGGCCGCACTCGAATGCGCCGCAGATCTTGCCAAACACTACAGCGCACCCGTTGTGTATGTGGGCGTCACCTCATCCCAACCCAGCGAATTGGCACATAATCCAGAAGAATTCGCACAAAAACTTGGCATATTTGCAGCGGCAGAAGCTGCCAGGTACGGCATAGAAACTGTGGCATATGCCACTATCGCGCACGATCCGACGATCGAGGTTGACGATGCACTGATGCGCGCAATCAAAGAAACTGGCGCCGATCTCGTCGTCATGGCAAGCCATGTGCCGAATGTCATGGACCATATCTGGCCGTCTAACGGGGGAAAACTTGCCGCGTACGCGAAATGCTCAGTGATGGTTGTGCGCACTTAGACCCCACAAGACAACGCACGAGTAGTCCACAGATGGCCGACGAAACTACAGTTGAGCCCAAGGGTGAAAGGTCTTGAGGCCCATAGTTGGCAAACGCTCGACAGGGCCGGGGCAAGTTGAGAGCCGGCATTGCCTTTCCACGTGTAAAAACCGGCAGTCCTCAAACGATCCCAATTCAGTTGCTACTCGACCAACACCAACCTTATTGCCTCATCCGCAACAACTCCGCATTCGCCCCGAAGACAAATTCCATCACAGCCCCTGCCCTCCAGCTTTTGTCGTTTCATTCTCGAAAAATGGTTCACATCCGTTGCCGAAGAGATTGTTGATGATTTCTGGCGCTCGATTGACTTTATGCCTAAGCATCCCGCCGGTGCCGTGAGGCCCAGACTTTCAGATCTGCGAAGGCTTTCAGGAATGCCGCAAGCACCAGCCCGCAGAGCGCCACCTTTGTCATTGTTTCCATCGTGCCTTCGATCAGAAGGGCATGAATCACGCTGCCTGCGACAATCACGAGGGCAAGCGAAGTGTGTGCCAGACGCCATGTGCGCGGTCTCAGTTGCAGGCGGCGGCGAATCGCGGCCAGCAGCGCTGCGGCAAAGACGGCCCACATGGCAATCACGCCCCATACGGAAAACGGTGTCGGCGAGCGGAACAGAAGCGCATCAATCACATCCGGCGGACTGGTGATCCAGAGCCCCGCGACGTGAACGATCACGGCCAGAACGAGAACACCGCCAACCCATCGATGAAGCCTGCGTCCGCGTTGCCTCGCCAGTCCGGGCAGATAACCACCGGCCAGCAATGGCTGAACGAGAAGGAGTGCCATTGCGATGATCCCCGCAAAGCCGGCCGCGATGTAAACCGGTTGGCGCCATTGCAACAAGGGACTGGCCGCGGCAGCTGCAACCGGAATCAGGAGGACAGCCGCAAGGACACCCCAGATCAGGATCGCTCTTGTTCTGCCCATTTAATTACGAACCGACCCGGTCAAGCAGGCTGAAGAACGAAATGCACCTCCAGGGTGGTGTCCCTGGCGCTGCTCATGACCGGACGCAGGAACACGGTTTCGAATTCTCCGCTGTCATAGGCAAGGTGGCCATGCGGCTGTCCGAAGGCCGGTACAATTTGCGGCATCTCCAGCCGGAACACTCCGTTAGCGTCGGTGAGCGTTGCACCGTGACTGCGCTCGTCGCGCTCGTGTCCTTCGGTCGTATGTGCCCAGACCTGGATGCGCTGACCTTCAAGGGGAGCGCCGTCGCCTGCGCGGCGGACGGTTCCCGTCATCCAGAAGCCGCCACCGCCGATACGGTCGACGATCGGGGCGCCGGGACGGTAATTGTTGGATCCACCGCGCATCGAACGCGTCGGTGCCAGATCCTGTGCACGGGCAGGAACAAGCAGCCCGGACATCCCGGCTACCGCAACGGCGCCACCGGCAGCCAGAAGATTTCGGCGGGTGAACAGGTCGGTCGTCATTCAAAATTCTCCTATCGGACAAGGCGCATCCGGCCTTCTGTCTGGCCAATGTAACTGCCGATCTGAAATTATAGGGCGATTGTGTCGATTTCCGAGTTTTCGAGGGCGGTACAATCGCCGATTTTGCTCACGGTTTCGTGAACTCGCCTGGCCCGGGTTTGTCGGCGACGGTCTTTCCCGTTGTTTCGGCTCTCGTGACAGACCAGCTTCATCCAGTTTGCGATCACGACGTCAGATCCAGGTCGCTGATGACTGTTTGAACGGCAAGCAGGAAGATCTGGACCTCGGCACTTTGCTGTGTGTCCGGCCGCGTCATGAGGCCGACCGGCCCCTTGGTGATGTCGCTGTCAAATGGCAGCCGGACCAGGGTGCCGTCCTCGGTCTCGGTCTGAACAACGCCCGATGATATGATCCAGACTGCGTCGGTCTGGCGGGTATAGAGCCGTCCGAACGCACCTGAAACGCTTTCAATGCGGTGGGGGATCTCGCCGACGCCATTGGCAATCATGAAACGCTCGACCAGCGGCCTGATCGCCGACCCTTCCGGCGGATAAATGACGGGCCAGTCGACGATGCGTTTGACATCCGGGTCCTTCAGCAACGGATGTCCCCTTCGTACGACCAGGTCGACGCGCTCTGAGTAAAGCTGCGTGAAGGAAACACCTTCCATGGAATCCGGGCGTCCGAGCCGACCGATCACAAGATCGAGCTCTCCCAGTTTCAGGCGCTCGATCAGATAGCCATGCGGTCCATCCATGATCTTGACAAGGACACTGGGTGACAGTTCGGCAAACTCCCTCACCACCGGCGGAATGAAGCTTGCCGCGACGCTCGGAAGCGCGCCGACCTTGAGTGTCGCCCGGGCATGGTCGCCTTCCTTTTCAACGCCGTCCAGGCCCTGCTGCAGGCTGGCAAGCGAAATCTGGGCGAAGTGCAGGAAGACCTTGCCCTGTTTCGTCAGGGCGATCCCTGCCCTGTTGCGGGTCATCAGGGTCGCACCGATGATGTCCTCGAGCTCCTTCAACGTCTTGGAAATCGCCGGTTGGGTGAGTGACAGCTTATCGGCGGCAAGTTTGAGGCTGCGCTCGTGCGCAATCTCGACAAAACACTGGATGTGGCGGAATTTGATACGGCGGTCGATCATTTAGTTTCCCATTCCAGCAACAAAAAAGCTCATTATCTCATTTTACTTCTCATTTTTGGACATTCAATATAGTGCCAACAGAGGAGGAAAACATGCGTACTCAGGTTGTCATTGTGGGCGGCGGGCCTTCGGGACTGTTGCTGGGGCAACTGCTTCACCGCAAGGGCATCGAGACGATCATTCTCGAACGCAAGACGCGTGACTATGTACTCGGACGGATCCGCGCCGGCATTCTGGAAACAGGTCTTGTCGACATGATGCGCGAAGCCGGTGTCTCGGACCGGATGGATAAGGAATGCTTCATCCACCACGGCACCTGTATCTCCTATGAAAACGAGATGTTCGACATCAATTTTCAGGAGCTGATCGGTCAGAACGTGATCGTCTACGGCCAGACGGAAGTCACCCGCGATCTCTACGACGCAAGGGACGCTTGCGGTGGCAGGACACTCTTCGAAGTCGAAGACGTCGAAATCCGCGATGCGGAAACAGACAGCCCCCATGTCACCTTCACAATCGATGGCAGTGCAAAGCGCATAGACTGCGATTTTGTCGCTGGATGCGACGGTTTTCACGGCGTCAGCCGCAAGACGATCCCCGACACGGTGCGCAAGGATTACGAAAAGGTCTTCCCGTTCGGCTGGCTCGGGGTCCTATCCGAAACACCCCCTGTGCATGACGAGCTTGTCTATGCCAATTCAGCGCGTGGATTTGCGTTGTGTTCCATGCGCAATGAACATCTTTCGCGGTACTATGTGCAGTGTGATCTCGACGACGATGTCTTCGAATGGAGCGACGACAGGTTCTGGGACGAGCTGAAACGCCGGCTGCCCGAGTCCGTCGCCGACAAACTCGTCACCGGTCCTTCCATCGAAAAATCAATTGCCCCACTTCGGTCTTTCGTCTGTGAGCCGATGCGTTGGGGCAGGTTGTTCCTGTGCGGTGACGCGGCCCATATCGTTCCGCCGACCGGCGCCAAGGGCCTGAACACCGCCGCATCCGACGTCCATTACCTGTTCGAAGGCCTGGTTCAATATTACCAGGACAACGAAACAAACGGCATCGACCGTTACTCGGAGCGCGCGCTGGCGCGGATCTGGAAAGCGGAACGCTTCAGTTGGGCCACCACGAACATGCTGCATCGTTTCCCCGACCAATCGGAGTTCGACCTGAAGATGCAGCGCGCTGAAATCGAGTCCCTTCACTACAATGAAACCGCGCAGAAGTGGTTTGCCCAGAATTATGTGGGGTTGCCGTACTGATGCAGATCGCACGCCTCAAAACCGTCGACCTTCACTGGAGCGAGGATGGTGACCCGGACGGCATCGCGGTCGTCTTTGCCAATTCCCTTGGCACTGATCTCCGTCTCTGGGACAAGGTCATTCCACTCCTGCCGCAAAAGGGATTACGCCTGATCCGTTTCGACAAGAGGGGCCACGGCCTATCATCGTGTCCCTCCTCGCCTTACACGATCGACGCACTGACGGATGACACAGAACAGCTTTTGGACCGGCTCCGGGTCAAGACCTGTATATTTGTCGGACTTTCGATCGGCGGCATTATCGCTCAACTTCTGGCCAGTCGCCGGCCGGAACTGGTCAAGGGTCTGGTTCTTTCGAACACGGCTGCCAAACTCGGCACAGCCGACATGTGGCAGGAAAGAATTGACCGCATCCGGAAAAACGGCATCGAGGCGATGGCCGATGCCATCCTGGAGCGCTGGTTCGGTGAAGAATTCCGCCGAAGCGACGAGGCCGTGGCCTGGCGCAACATGCTGACGCGGACACCGGTAGAGGGATATATCGGCTGCAGCGAAGCCATAGCGGCAAACGACCTGACAGCTTCGACATCGAAACTGAAGCTGCCGGTGCTCGGAATTGGCGGCGAACACGACCTGGCCAGCCCTCCGGATCTTGTCCGGGCGACGACGGATCTGATTGACGGCAGCCGGTATGTCGAAATCGGGAATGCAGGCCACCTGCCCTGTATCGAGCAGCCGGACATCTATGCCGGCCATCTCGTTAGATTTTTCAAGGAGGACCTCAATGTCGGAGCGATATGAGCGCGGCATGGCCGTTCGCCGGGCAGTGCTCGGCGACGATCACGTAGACCGGGCGGAGAATGGCAAGACGGATCTCGACGGACCGTTCCAGACCCTGATCACCGAGGGCGCCTGGGGAACGGTCTGGTCGTCGGAGGGCATCAGCGCGCGCGAGCGGTCAATGCTGACACTTGCGCTGCTGGCAGCACTCGGTAACTTCGAGGAAATCGCGATGCACATCCGGGCAACGGCCCGCACCGGCGCCAGCAAGCAGGACGTGCTGGAAGCGTTCCAGCATGTCGCGGTTTATGCCGGCGTTCCGCGCGCCAACCAGGCCTTGAAGATCGCCAGGGAAACCTACGCCGAGATGGAACAGGGTAATCAGCAGGCATGAGCTGACCGGGCTGCCAGAGGGAGAAAACAACGATGAAACCAGGTCCGTATTATCAACGCGACCGGCAGTGGCAACCAGCGGCGCTGACGCCGGACTACAAGACCAGCGTGTCCCGCTCGCCGCAATATTCGATGATCAGTCTGGAAACGACGGTCAGCGAGGTCACGGGCCCCGTTTTCGGTCACAATGACATTGATCCGCTCGACAGGGATCTCTTGAACAACTTTGCCAAGCCGGGTGAAAGCCCGATCGGAGAACGCATCATCTTGCATGGGCGCGTGCTCGATGAAAATGCGAAACCGGTTCCCAACACGCTGGTCGAGATCTGGCAGGCCAACGCAGGCGGCCGCTACCGGCACAGGAAAGACACTTACCTCGCCCCGATCGACCCCAATTTCGGCGGTTGCGGCCGAACACTCACGGACGAGGACGGCCACTACCACTTCAGGACGGTCAAACCCGGTGCGTATCCCTGGCGCAACTGGGTCAACAGCTGGCGTCCGGCCCATGTTCACATATCGGTTTTCGGTTCAGCATTTGCACAGCGCCTGATTACACAATGCTACTTCGAGGGTGATCCGCTTATCGCAAAATGTCCCATCGTCAATACGATCCCCGACAAAGACGCGATCGAACAGTTGATTGCCCGGCTCGATCTCAACGCAACCCTTCCGCTGGACACGATCGCATACAAACTCGACATCGTGCTGCGGGGGCGCCGGTCGACCCTTTTCGAAAACCGGCCGGAGGGCAACTGACATGCGCCAGCATCTTGACTACCTGAAGGAAACCCCGTCACAGACAGCAGGTCCCTACGTTCATATCGGCCTTGCGCCCGGTGCGGCGGGATTTGAAATCTATAATCAGGAACTCGGCTGGGACATTGCCGGACCCAATGCAGCCGGTGAGCGCATCCGCGTCGAAGGCCGGGTCATCGACGGGATGGGTTCTCCGATCAAGGACGTGCTTCTGGAAGCATGGCAGGCCAATGCAAACGGCATTTACACGCATCCGGAGAGCGAAGGTGATGTTGAAGACGGTTTCCGCGGCTGGGGGCGTGTGATCACGAATTTCGAGACCGGCGAATGGGGGTTCGACACGGTCAAGCCCGGCAGCGTGACAGACGGCAACTCACGCGTGATGGCACCCCATATCAGCCTCTGGATCGTGGCGCGCGGTATCAATATCGGCTTGCACACGAGACTATACTTCGAAGACGAAAGGGATGCGAATGCCGGGGATCCGGTGCTGAATCTGATCGAATGGGAGCACCGCCGGGCAACATTGTACGCGAAAAGAGGTGAACGGGACGGCAAAACCGTCTACCGGTTTGACATAAAGTTACAAGGGGAAGATGAGACCGTCTTTTTCGACATCTGAGTGAAACACATGACAAAACCCTGCATCATCTGCGTCGCAATCACAGGTTCGGTGGCGACCAAGCAAAACAATCCGGCGGTGCCGATCACGGTCGCCGAACAGCTTGAAAGCACCCACGAAGCCTTCGAAGCAGGCGCTGCCATCGTGCATGCCCACGTGAGAAACGACGACCAGTCGCCGACGTCGGATCCGGAAAAGTTCGCGCGTCTTAAGGAAGGCCTTGAGAAACACTGCCCGGGAATGATCATCCAGTTTTCAACCGGTGGGCGTTCCGGAGCCGGTGAAGCGCGCGGCGGCATGTTGCCGCTGAAGCCGGACATGGCCTCGCTTTCCGTCGGCTCCAACAACTTCCCGACACGGGTCTATGAAAACCCGCCCGACCTGGTCGACTGGCTGGCCGGTGAGATGCGGACCTATGCCGTCAAACCCGAAATCGAAGCCTTCGACCTGAGCCATATCCACCAGGCCGCCGCGATGAACAAGGACGGGCGCATCCCGGGCAGGCTCTACGTTCAATTCGTCATGGGTGTCAAAAACGCCATGCCGGTCGATCGGGATGTATTCGACTATTACATCAAGACCGTTCAGAGGCTTGTGCCGGATGCGGAATGGTGTGCAGCCGGTATCGGCAGGTATCAGCTGATCGTCAACGAGTGGTGCATTGCCGCCGGCGGGCACACAAGGACCGGCCTTGAAGACAATGTACGCTTTGACAGGGAAACGCTTGCGCCTTCCAATGCTGCACTGGTGAGGCGAGCCGCGGAGCTTTGTGAAAAACACGAGCGCCCGGTTGCGACCTGGCAGCAAGCCCGCGATATCCTGGAGCTTCCACTCGAAGCGGCTTGATGTTGATGAATGCCTGGCTCTCAATTGAGGGCGAAACCCGATAGTTGAGAACCATGCCCGTTTCCCTGTTTTCCAGCCAAGTCCACGCCGGGCTCTTCGCCGACGACAGCCTTCTGCCGATACTTGACGATGCAGGAGACGTTCGGCACATGGTTCGTTTCGAACAGGCGCTGGCTGTTGTTCAGGGGCGTCTCGGCATTATCCCCGCGGAAGCCGCCAGGACGATTGAGCAAGGCCTTGAAGACACCTTGCCGGATCCGGCGAGCCTGAGCGGGGGAACGGCATCGGCAGGTGTTCCTGTACCGGCACTTGTCGCCGCCTTGCGAAAAATGGCCGGTGAAGAAGCGGGCAAGTGGCTGCATTGGGGGGCAACCAGTCAGGATGTGATGGATACGGCGCAAATGCTGCAATCCAAAGCCTGCCTGGAAATCCTGGAACCCCGCCTGTTCCGGCTGATCGATACCCTTGAAACACGAAGCAACGAGACTGCCGAACAGCTTCTGGCCGGGCGGACACGCAGTCAGGTTTCGACGCCGGTCACGCTCGGGTACCGGATCGCCCAATGGGCGCATCCCCTGATCGATGCCGGAAACGATCTGGCGGCACTGAGAGCCTCGGCACTCAGGGTGCAGTTCGGCGGCGCTTCCGGTGTCAACAGCGCGATTGCGCCGGACGGAACGGGGGTCGCTGATGCTCTTGCAGTCGAACTAGATCTGCAGAACGCTCCCTCCTGGCACGTGAACAGGACACCTTTGCTGGCGTTGTCTGCCTGGCTGCAACGGATCTGTGCGGCCCTTGCCAAGATGGCCGGTGATCTCATCGTGATGGGCAGGACGGATATCGCAGAACTCGCCAGTGGAACGGGTGGCGGCTCATCGACAATGCCGCAGAAATCAAACCCGGTTCAGGCGGAGACGATCCAGGTTCTTTTCCAGATCGCCAATCACTCCCATGGAGTACTGGCGAGCGCCGCAGATCCTCTGGAAGAGCGGGACGGTGCGAAGTGGCCCCTTGAGTGGATGATGCTGCCGCAGATGTTTCTGGCGGCAGGATCTGCGCTACGTCATGCGCAGGCTCTTGCAGACAGTCTGAGACCCGACGCTGCTCGCCTGGATGCGGTGCTTGCTTCCAATCCGGAAGTCATGGCCGAAACCGCCAGCTTCGTGCTTGCGAAAGCCGGGGTTCCGCGAGCTGACGCAAAGGACCTCGTCGCTCGTGCAGTCTCCGACAAGGCGCCCTTTACCGACGCTCTGGCAAATCTCAGTCCAGTACAGATCAACTGGCAGACGGCGCTTGATCCCCAACTTGTCATCGAACCCTGCCGGCAAATGTCCGGGAGGATCTTTGCGCGCCGGGTTAGCAAATAGGCCTTTTCATCGGAGGATTTCCGGCAGCCAGAGCGCAATCGCCGGGAAGCTTACCAGCAGGATTACGCGGATGACCTCGGCCCCGAAGAAGGGCGCAACACCCTTGAATGTCTCAATCATCGGCGTGTCGCGGGCAAGCGAGGAAATCACGAAGACATTCATCCCGACCGGCGGCGTGATCAGGCCGAGTTCCACGACAATCAGCGCCAGGATCCCGAACCAGATCTTGAGGTCCTCTGTGCTCATGCCGAAACCGGCCCCGTCAGCCCCCTGATAAATGCCGCCATTGATGTCGACCAGCACCGGCCAGAAAAACGGAATGACAAGGAGGATCATGGAGAGACTGTCCATCAGGCAGCCGAGAATGATGAGGGCGACAAGCAGGATGATCAGGACTGTCATCGGCTCCAGGCCGGAATTCGAAATCCAGGCAGCGGTTTCCTGAGGCAACCCAACGCGGGACATGAAGATCTTCAGGAGTTCCGCACCGAGGATAATCAGGTAGATCATCCCGGACGTCGCGGCTGTTTCCTTGAGTGCAGAGACAAAGTCGGAGCGCGACAGGTTCTTCTGGACGACACCGAAAAACAGCACCAGGAACACGCCGACGGCCGCGGCTGGTGTCGGATTGTAAAGGCCGCCATAAATTCCGCCGATAACCAGTCCGAAGATGACGAGAACCGGGATCATGCCGATCGTCGCCTCGACAAACTCGCCTCGATCCGCCACGCCGCCCTTCGGGCCCGAGGAAGGATTGATGGCGACATAGATCGCGATCGTCAGAAGAAACAGGATAACCGCCAGGAGACCGGGCAGAAACGCGGCCATGAACATGGTGACGATATTCGCCTCGACGATGACGGCGTAGATGATCAGGACCACAGAAGGTGGAATGAGAATGCCCAGAACACCCCCGGCCGCGAGTGTCCCGGTGGCGAGCGCTCCCGAGTAGTTGTAGCGGCGCAGTTCGGGAAGCGCGACCTTGCCCATCGTTGAAGCTGTTGCAAGCGATGATCCGCAAACGGCTCCAAACCCGGCGCATCCGGCAATCGCGGCCATGGCCGTGCCGCCGCGCATCCAACCGAGCCAGGCATTGGCGCCCCGGAACAAGGCCTGACTGAGGCCTGTTTTGGAGGCAATTGCGCCCATCAGGACGAACATGGGAACGACCGAGAGATCGTAGATCGAAAACTGCCCATAGGCCAGGGTCTTGAGCTGGCTGAGAACCAGCGCGGGACCGTTCAGCATCATTGTGCCGACGCCGCCCACAAGGATCATGGCATAGGCGATCGGTATGCGGATTGCGATCAGGAAGACCAGCACGGCGAGCGCGCCCAGGCCGAGCACGAGTGCATCTGTCATGTGCAGGTTATCCTTTCGACAGAATGCTTGCGTCGCGCAGCAGCGTAAGCAACGCGGCAACTGCCAGCAGCGCCAACGAAATCAGAATCGGGATGAACGCGATCCAATGCGGTATCTGAAGGATCGTCGTCGTGTAGTCGTATTCTTTCTGATCGAGCATGCCGAAATACATGCGCCAGATCAGAAGAATCGCGAAGCCGAGAGCGACCAGAGACCCAAGCAGCGTGAAAAACGCGATCATCCTCCTGGAGGCGCCTGAAGTAAAAATATCGGCAGACACATTCGCACCTACCAGCTGGCAATAGGGCAGGAACGAAAAGACAGCGACCGCCACACCCATTTCGGTCAGCTCGAAATCTCCAGGAAAGGGCTCACCGAAGAAGTTCGACCCGATGATGGAGACCATGTTCACGGTGACGACAAGAAGCAGCAGCAAGCCGCCCAACAGTGCCCAGCCCGTTATCAGCCGGCCGGCAGTTCCGGCGAAACCGGAACTGCCTGCTTGCATTTCAGTGGTCATCAGTTGGACGCGTTCCTGGCAACTGCGGCCCTGGCTTTTTCAACCAGTGCGTTGCCATCAATTCCTTTTTCTGAAACTTCGTCCACCCAGCGACCGACGACAGGTGCCAGCGCCTCGTTGAAAGCTGCTGTTTCTTCAGTTGTCAACGTGATGTGCGTATTGCCGGCCTTGGTGGCCAGACCAATACCGAAATCATCGGCACCGGCCCAGATATTGCCGACTTCCTCTGACCAGGTTGCATCGGAGGCGTCCCGGAATGCCTTTTTCACATCGTCCGGCAATGCGTCCCAGCGTGCCTTGTTCATCGAAACCTGGAACACCGTCGTTCCGAAGCGCTCCTTGTCGGCACCTTCGATCTGATATTCGGTCTGTTCCTGGATCTTGAGCGGCGGAATGATCTCCCAGGGGATCATGGCGCCGTCAATGACGCCCTTTTGCAGCGCCGTCGGCAATTCGGGAACCGGCATTGCAACAGGCGAAGCGCCGAGCGCTTCGATCACCCAGGCTCCGGTGCGCGTCGGGATGCGAATTTTCTTGCCTTCAAGATCGGCAGGAGAGCGGACTTCCGTGTCTGTCATGTGAATGCCCTGCCCTGCATGTACATGCAGGAACATGACTTCCACACCCTTGTAGTCGTCTTTCAGATCGCTTTCGAACAGTTCCTTGAGCGCGAGGTTCGTTGCCGCGGTATCATTTTTATGGACACCGGGAAGCTCGAAAACCTCGGAGCGCGGGAACAGGCCAGGCGTGTAACCGTTCACGGTCCATACAAGATCGACAACACCGTCGCGGACCTGGTTGATCAGCTCCGGCGGGCGTCCGCCAAGCGTCATCGCCGGATAGATTTCAATCGAGACCTTGCCGCCGGAATTCTCTTCAACGCGCTTTGCCCAAGGCACCAGCATCTGCGCATGCGCCGGAGCCTTTTCTCCAATGAAGTGATGCAGCTTGAACTCATGGTCCGCTGCCACCACCGGTGTTGCACCAAATGCAAACAGGGCGGCCCCCAGAACCGCATTCTTGAAATTGCTCATGTTTCCTCCTCCAGTCGGCTTCCGTGTCCGGTTGTCTTGATTGCGTCTTCCAAAACGGACTTTTTCGACCTTTGCCAACACCTTATCGGTTCAATCGGCAATCGTCGCGCCTTTCCGCCTATTTGAATCCGTTCGACCGGGCACGGCAGCCTCCGGAAAATCAAAGGCCGCTCTCCGGTCACCAGATCATATTCATTAATTAGTTTGGGAATGTAAATTGAGATATCCGGCCATATACTTTCCGTTTTCGGAAACAATAACCGCCATACAGTCGCCTGAACTAGGTACCGGCGCATGCCGTTTCTGGCGCTTCGGCCTTCGCAAAGCTGGACTTGACGGATCTCGCAGGTGAAGCGAACAACACGCGACTCGCACAGCGGTCTCTTCTCTACTTCGGCCTTACAACGCCACGATCCACCCAATCGTCGAAGATCGTCAATACGGCTTCATCGAATTCAGGATCGTTTATGTGGGCATCGATCTCGGTCATCGGAATTCGTCCTGGCAGCACGATGCGAGCCTCTTCCACAAAGGCGGACAGTCCTTCCGGATCATGTGTTTCCTGTCCGGGCCGATCCCATTCTTCTATTCCGCCCGTCGGAAGCAGGAAGTGCACTTCACCCTCAGCACCTTCGAGCCGGTCGCCAAGTTCGTGAACCCAGCGGCGGCGCTCGTCTGAATTGAAAACCGAACTTTTGATAAGCCTGTTATGTTCAT